GTTCTAATGAGATGGATGAAACTGGAGCCCATTATACAGAGCGAAGTAAGCCAGAAAGATAAAGACCATTACAGTATACTAACACATATATATGGAATTTAGAAAGATGGTAATGATAACCCTATATGCAAAACAGAAAAAGAGACTCAGATGTATAGAACAGACTTGTGGACTCTGGGAGAAGGCGAGGGTGGGATGTTTCAAGAGAACAGCATCAAAACATGTATATTATCTAGGGTGAAACAGATCACCAGCCCAGGTTGGGTGCATGAGACAAGTGCTCGGGCCTGGTGCACTGGGAAGACCCAGAGGGATCGGGTGGAGAGGGAGGTGGGAGGGGGGACCGGGATGGGGAATACATGTAAATCCATGGCTAATTCATTTCAATGTATGACAAAAACGACTGCAATGATGTAAAGTAATTAGCCTCCAACTAATAAAAATAAATGGAAAAAAAAAAAACACTGTCTCTCACACCCAGAGCTCATCTTATGGTAGCCAATACAGTCAACATATTTTCCAAGCCAACAATGAGGGCCTGTCGTCTGGTGGTAAAATCGTACTTAGGAGGACAACAAAGCATCATTTTGAAGTCACAGTGAACAAGGCAAAAATGAGGGATGATCACCGTCGTCATAGAAACCCTTACAGAGGCACATTGACTCACATTCTCCATCCTGGCTCAGAGAGGAAGGCACGAAAGACAATTTCCCTTTCTATTTTCAGAAATCTTTTACGGCCCCTTAAAACTTAATTCCGGGGCTAATTTTTCCAAGAATGCAGAGGGTAATGAGCATTGCTATTTATCTTTTTTCATGACTAGGTCACACCTCTCTCAGCATTAGAGATTTGCTGGTTACATTTGGTCATCTGAGGCAGCAAAGACTGAGCCCTGCGTGGGAAGGATGCTCGGTTAATTCTTCCCGGGGATGGTGTTAGGCACACGTGGGCTGGAGCAAGTCAAGTCCAGGTTGCCACTTACGAACATGAATTAGGAGAGAGAGAGAAAGAAGTGGCAGAAAGAAGTACGCTGGAAATAGAATTCATGAGTAAGAAGAGAAGACAGAGAATGAGGGGAGGAAAAGCAGGACCCCCGTGGTAGGTATCACAACCATTATTTACCCATTGAGGGTTTTAGGTCATCTCCCTCACTCCTCAAGAAGTCACTGAATGTGTTGCTGTAATTTATAATCACTAATTAATCTGTTTTCCTTTTTAAAAGACAAAAGACTAAAAGCGACTGTAAGATTTTTCCCTTAGAAAGGCTAGGGTATTAAGTCATTTTATCTGGTCTTAACCAGAAAGATAAATGGAGCCTTTAGAAATGTTTATGAGCATTTATTACCATATTTCATACGGCACAGAGGAAAAGGATCAAGATCTCAGTATCTTTTTACAGATATGTAGAAGAATGAAAGTTAACTTATTTTCCTTGAGTCAATGTTTTACTCTCTATGAAAATATAAGTGCTTGTCACTAGGCTGAAAATAGCCCACTTAAACTTTAGTAAAAAATCACACTGTGCATGTTTAACTTACCAAAATAATCATCCGTTACATCATTGAACAAATTCATCATTAATGGCCTTAAAAAGGCTCTTTGGTTGCTCTGTGTGTCCTCAGGCAACATCATCTCACATGAAATGCCATTCACAAATTAAAGATAATTACATAAATATTGAACACATGATTTCAAATAATCTCCATTTTGGAGTGAATATGTATAATTCGTGTTTTTGGCTCTTGCCAGATTCACATTTTATTTAGCAAAAAATATCCACCCAAGACCCAGCTGCTTCAGAAGGAAAGATTGAAGCATTATTTCATATTATTTCATATATTGAGTTATATTATGTGGAATCATAAGACTTATTATGTGACCATAACCCAACCGGCTTCCTATTTTTGTCTTTTATTTTTAAGTCTATATTTAAAAGACAAAAATGTCTTCAATGAGACCTGTTTTATATAGAGAAACTTCCTCATGAAGTGGCTTTTTCAACCTAAATTAGTTTGTGCCACAGTTTTGCTAAAAATGTGTATTTAATCTTCTGTATCCCTCCTTGCCACAGCCTATTCTTGGGATCATAACTTTGTACAAAGTAGTCCCTAGGTATTTTATGCTAAAATGTCCCTTATATTAGCTCCTCAATGGGCAAGTTTTGATTTACAGGCTCTTCCTGAACCAGTCTTTCTTTCCCTTTTTGTCTCTTCAGGTGTTGTTTGCTTTCTCTTCTTTAAACAGATTGTCTTCTGTCTAGACATTCTCTAGTCAGCAGACCAGGTAAACTCCCAGATTTTAAGCTCAAAGCAGGGAGAACTTTAAGAGGTGAGATATTCATTGATGGGACATGGAGAGGCAGAAGTTGAAGGCAAACAAACAAGCAGCATAAGAAACATTCACCCACATGCCTCCTGCCTCACCTGGAAAATCACTGGTCTCTAAAATACCCATAAGATGGTGCCTTCCTTCCTTCCTTGGCCGTTTCCTTTTCTTTTTTTTTCCCCCATTTATTTTTATTAGTTGGAGGCTAATTACTTTACATCATTGCAGTGGTTTTTGTCATACAGTGAAATGAATTAGCCATGGATTTACATGTATTCCCCATCCCAGTCCCCCCTCCCACCTCCCTCTCCACGCGATCCCTCTGGGTCTTCCCAGTGCCAGGACATGGAAGCAACCTAGATGCCCATCAGCAGACGAATGGATGAGGAAGCTGTGGTACATATACACCATGGCTGTTTCCTTTTCAAACACAATAGATGTGATTTGAACTACAGGACGGACCACCCTGGGCAATTTTTCATTGATGCATTATTTCACTAACTAAATACTTTACTGAGTTCCCACCATCAGCCAAGCACTCTGCTGACCACTGAATGCATAAAACATAGTCTCATCCTCGAGAAGCTCCTAATTTGATAGACTGACCAATTTCAAAAGACTCCAGTGATTATAACCTCTCATCAACTTCCTTCAGTTAATCCAGAAACAGAGAGACTAGGAGGAGAAAAGGAGTTTCATAAAGCACGGTTAGAAATTTTCAACAGTTGGGCTCCCACATATAGCATATCCCACGGAACTGACAAGTCCTGATCCCTCAAGACTCCATGTTTTTCTTCATTAGGCTACACATGGGTGTTCTGTTTTGTTTTACAGGCTTTTTTTTTTTTTACAATTAAACCAATTATCTCTCCCTGTCAATCTAAAATTACATTTGTGATTTTTTGGAAAGTCACATTGGCTTTTCTGGACAACTTTCCATATGATAATTTTTGTATTGTAGAAAGCTTTATTTAAAAAACAAACAAATAAGACTGTCAGGAGGAACGCATTCAGCTACTGATGAACTCACTCTATTAGAGTCCAAAGGAAGTACTCTGCCCAGAAGAACAGCAGCTTCTGGTCTTGGAGGATGGGGAAGGCTTGGGGTGGCTGCGTTTCGCTCAGCTGCATCTGTAGGAGTTATTTCTCTCCCAGGCACACCCGACCCTTGGGTTCAGGCCCTTCATGTTTCCTCAGGAATGTTCAAGAGTCTTTCCTTTGTCCATCTTGCCATAGCTTGTAAATATTTACCATAAACTCTTAAACCAGCAAAAGGAGATGCCCTGATAGTCAAATGAGCTGATCCAAGCTTATTTATTCTTCATCTGCTCTCAGATTGTAGACAAGAAACTCTTAATTCTCTGATGACAGAAATACATGGGCAGGTTTTCTCTACAGCTCTGATGTATTTGCCCTACCAATAGTTTTTCCAACTCTAATTACCATGGGAAAGCGGGGATTGTTTGTTGTAATTGTCACCATGGCATTCTAACGGGAAAGTATGTGAAAGAAGATGCAGAAATATATCCTAAAGTTATAAGATGCCAGTAGCCTCTTTTATTTATGTTTTCCGCTCACATATATGGAGTGCTTGTGTGTCTCTATGGCCCAGCTGGTATGAGGTGAAGTGAAAGTAAAAGTGCTAGTTACTCAGTTGTATGAGACCCCATGGACTGGAGCCCGACAGGCTCCTCTATCCATGGAATTCTCCAGGCAAGAATACTGGAGTGGGTAGCCATTCCCTTCTCCAGGGGATCTTCCCAACCCAGGGGATGAACCCGGGTCTCCTTCATTGCAGGTGGATTCTTCACCACTGAGCCACCAGGGAAGCCCCTGGTATGAGGTAGGGAGATGTACAGGTGACTAAGAAGTAAACTAACCTCAGGGAGCTTGAGCGAGTGGGGAAAACATGGGACAAAGCATGCCAGAGGAGCTGGAGAGTGTGCGGCAGATGCTCTGCAAGCACAGAACTAATTCTCTCTGTAAGGGGGATCAGCAACAGCCTCCCAGAGAAACTGAGCCCTGTGGTCTGCTAGCCTGATGACTAACATACAGTTAAGAATAAAACCAGAGCAGCAGGGGAAATATACAGTTATTAGAATCCTGGAGGGAGGGGGAGTTTTTCTCCCAAATCATTTAAAAATAATTTAACATTTTTATAGTTTCTTTTTTGGGTTAACTAGCTTTCACCCTGTCTCTCCTGTGTGATGGGAGGGGTCTTTGCCAAGATATAGAGGTAATAGGGCTTTTCCATCAATGCATTAATGCTCCTTTTAGGGAGAGTCAGTGAGGCTCAGGTGGTAAAGAATCTGCCTGCAATGCAGGAGACACAGGTTCAATCCTTGGGGCAGGAAGATTCCCTGGAGGAGGAAATGGCAACCCACTCCAGTATTCTTGCCCGGGAAATCCTGTGGACAGAGGAGCCTGGTGGGCTACAGTCCACTGGGTTGCAAAGAATCCAACAGGACTGAGGGATTACACTTTGACTTTTCATGAGTTCTTCTGCCAGAAAACCAACTCAGTAGCTGATGCACAGGGAAAGAGCACTATCTATTTACCAAGGGAAGGGTTAACCACTGTCCCCCTCTCTTTCATTCCCCCAGGTCCTTGCGGGAGACGGGTCTGGAACCACACCCCCGGGTGTCCATGACCCCCGTGGCTGCGCCCTGTCAGCGATGAAAGGGTTATCGGGCAGCCGCAGCCATCATCACGGAGTCACCTGCGATTCAGCCTGTGACTCGCTGTCGCACCACGCGGACCGCAAGCCATACCTGCTGAGCCCAGTGGAGCACCACCCGGCCGACCACCCCTACTACACTCAGCGGACCTCCTTCCAGGCCGAGTGTGTGGGCCCCTTCAGCGACCCGCTGGCCAGCAGCACCTTCCCGCGGCGGCACTACACCTCGCAGCAGGAGCTGAAGGACGAGTGTGCCCTAGTGCCCCGCACCCTGGCCACCAAGGCCAACCGCATCCCCGCCAACCTCCTGGACCAGTTTGAGAGGCAGCTGCCTCTCAGCCGGGATGGCTACCACACTTTGCAATACAAGCGCACGGCCGTGGAGCACCGCAGCGACAGTCCCGGCCGCATCCGCCACCTGGTCCACTCGGTCCAGAAGCTCTTCACCAAATCGCACTCCCTGGAGGGGCCATCCAAGGGCAGCGTCAACGGGGGCAAGGCCAGCCCAGACGAGACGCAGACCGTGAGGTACGGCAAGCGCAGCAAAAGCAAGGAGCGGCGTCCGGAGCCCAAGCCGCGCAACAACACATCCCCGGGCTGGTGGAGTTCTGACGACAACCTCGACGGCGACATGTGCATCTACCACTCCCCCTCGGGTGTGATGACCATGGGCAGGTGCCCCGACCGCTCGGCCTCTCAGTACTTCATGGAGGCCTACAACACCATCAGCGAGCAGGCAGTGAAGGCCTCCCGGAGTAACAACGATGTCAAGTGCTCCACCTGCGCCAACCTGCCCGTTACCCTAGACGCACCGCTGCTCAAGAAGAGTGCCTGGTCCTCCACACTGACCGTGAGTCGAGCCCGAGAGGTTTACCAGAAAGCCTCGGTCAACATGGACCAGGCCATGGTGAAGTCAGAGTCGTGTCAACAAGAACGTTCCTGCCAGTACCTTCAGGTACCATTTATATGGAGGGATGGGTGCTTAGAAGTTGTACCTGCTGATTGCATGGTATTTTCTCCTGGGCCCTAGTGTTGGCTCTACTATGAATTCTCTATGTGAACCTGAGCAAATTATTTAACATTTTGTGGGCTGAGGACTCCTATCAGGAAACAGGCCTGCTAGCAACCTCATCCAGTTATCCTGAGGTACTGGATATAAAAGTGCTTTGAAAAGCACGCCTACAAAAAGGCAAGGAGTTATTAATGTTTTGTGTTCCTCTTTTGTCTGAGGGATTGTAGGACAAGGAGGGGGAGAAAAGGGGAGTTTACACAGAATTTTAAAATAAAGCCACCTTTTTTACAAAAGTCAACAATGATCTTTGGAATTCTGGAAAGAGTTTAATTAGTTCTATTCAGGGTTTTTTGTTATTATTATTTAAGATTCTGCCCCAAGCTGTTAGTTTGGAAAAATTGATCAACATCTTCACCATTGCAATTTTCACACCACAACGAAGCTAATCACACCCCCACCTAAGTCCTCAACCCCAGAGCACAGGGAGTTAGGGTGATGCCCTGCACCCTGAGGAGGTGGAGATGGAACCAGTTTGGGGACCTGACAAGTACAGCTGCAGAGACTCAGAACAACAGAGAAGAGGGGGAAAAGAAGGGGAAGCATCTGCACAATAAAATACAATTAGTGTCAGTATGTAAATCCCACACGCACAGACCCAAGGCCGCTCCTCCCCTTCTGCAGACTCCTATTTTTCCTACTGCCCTCCAATCCACTGAAACCAGATTTCACCTGGATAAAAATATCAGGGGAAGAGTCTCTTTTTTCCCTACTGCCTCCCTTTAGAATTGTCATTTTTACTGAGACACAATGTTTCGAAAGAGGGATCCTCATATTTTTCCTTTTCAAAGTGTACGTTTTCTCTTCCTAGCCCTCCCTTCCTAGCCTTGTCTGTTTTAAAAAAGGTTTTACTGGAATATAAAATCATGACATAATCATTTCCCACTCTTAAGAATAAATGCAAGTAAAAGTCTTCCACCAAGACATTCATCTTTTTTGCTCTCTTTGGATCTCTTCTGGCAAAGCTGACTCCCTTGGGATTGCTGCTACCAAGTTCTGAAGATATTCCAGGCTGGCAGTCACTGGGTACGGACAGTGCCAGACCCATCCCCAGACTTCAGAAGAGGCCACCATTGTGTGGATAGTTTTCACAAACAACATAATATTTCCTACTGAAGGTGGCAGCATTTAATTTACTGTAAGGTTGTCCTCAGTCGCTTAGTCGTGCCCACCCTTTGCGACCCCATGGACTACAGCCCACCCGGCTCCTATGTCCATGGCACTTTCCAGGCAAGAATACTGGAATGAGTTACCATTTCCTACTCCCGGGATCTTCCCAACCCAAGGATCAAACCCATGTTTGGCAGGCATATTCTTTACCACTGCACCACCTAGGAAGCCCTATAAGGTTGTTATATGTGTTAATTAAGTTATCAAGAATCACTAACAGAAGTTTAAAGCTAAAGGGATCATCTAACCAAACCTCTTCATTTAGAATATAAAAAACTAGACTCAAAGAAAAGTAAAGGCCTTATAAGTCACACTGTTAATATATGGCAGAGGTAAGACCAGAACTCAAAGACTCTTAGCTCATAGAAAAGACCATTATAAATATTACAACTGAAAGCCTTAGAAATTCTTTAACCACATAAATCTCATCCACTACTGAGAATAAAATATTTTGATAAGGTATCTGTCTTGAAGAAAGGATGTGTAATGAGACAGAAAACCTAGAATTCATTTTTGTCTATGAAGGTTCTGTGACTAGTGGCAAAAACAAAATTTAATTTTAAAAATTGAACCATAATCAGTAGTGATAAGATCAGATAAGAAATATCAAATTAAAGCATTTCCTGGTGGCTCAGCAGAAAGAATTCACCTGCCAATGCAGGAGTTGTGGGTTCAATCCCTGGGTCAGTAAGATCCCCTGGAGAAGGAAATGGCAACCCACTCCAGTATTCTTGCTTGGGAAATCCCATGGACATTGAAGCCTGGTTGACTACAGTCTGTGGGGTCACAAAGAAGTGGACATGACTGAGCCAGCACAGCATTCTGCACAAGACTTTCAAACTGAAAAAAAATTTTTTTATATATCAGTGTGGGGACATAGTAAATGCAGTTACTCCCCCCAACCAGTATGCTGAGATGAGGAGTTCCTCTAAAGAAAAGGAAGAAGCTGGACATTCACATGGAGGAGGAGGAAATGGGACACTCCTAAGAACTGGAATCCTCTCTAGCTCTCTTCTTGCTTTACAGGGAAAGGAGAATCTATATCCTGCAGAAGTTCCTCTTAGGAAGATAGGTTTAGCCAGCACCTGTCAGCTCCCATAGAATAATTTCACTTGTAACTCATTCTTAGAAGCAAATTTGGGAACATAGAGGGGTTTGTTTTCTAGTCGTATTGCTTTGTGAAAAAGTGAAAGTGCTAGTTGCTCAGTCATGTCTGACTCTTTGAGACCCCATGGACTGTAGCCCACCAGGCTCCCTGTCCATGGGATTCTCCAGACAAGAATACTGGAGTGAGTTGCCATTTCCTTCTGCAGGGGATCTTCCCAATGCAGGGATCGAACAGGATCTCCTGAATTGCAGGCAGATTCTCTGAGCCACCAGGAAAGCCCCAATTACCAACTAATATTGAAACTGGATGTACAGATGTGTTTGATTTCAGTGTCAGAAAGTTTAGCGGACAAAGCATTGAACTTTAAATAAGAGGGTTTATGTTTTAGTCCCTGTTGGCCACTAACTAGTTGGTGATCACTAACTAGTGATGCGGCTTAGAACCATCATTTCAGCTCTCCAAAGTCTCTTTCTTCTACTATAAAGTGAGGCACTTGGTTGAGAAGGCTGGGATCCCAGTCCACATCTTCAGATGCCTCAGTTACACATGCAAAGCAGTAATTAGAGCCGTTTTCAAGAGTTGTAAAGGCCTGGAGCTACCATTAAATGCTTAAAGTAGATGCTTTTCCAATGATACCTAATTTGCTCTCAGAAACTCTAGGAAGTATTTTACAGTTAAAGGAACTGCGATTTAGTAAATTAGATTAAGTCACTTGCCCAAGGACACACAGCTAGTACATGGCAACATGGAGGATCTAACCTGATTCATCGGCCTTCAAACCTGGATTTCTCCACTAATCGTGTCTGATCTCTGCCCAGACCATATATAAAACAGAGGGAAGAAGCAGCATATACCCTCTGCCTGTTATGTACCAGAAATCATAGAGTATCCATTTAGTACCCAAAAAACCTTTGTAAAATTAGTATTAATATTACTATTTACTCCAGTTTTATAGATGACAAAACTGAGGCACAAAAGATGAAATTCCGTCTTCAGGAACTCACGGGTAGTAACTGAGAGAGCTAAGACTTGACTGCAGATCTGTCTGGGTCTATAAAGTGCTTCAGAAATAGAAACAAATGCATTTTTCTCATTTTAATATTAGTTCTGTTCTGCATCAAAGGTATGCATTCACTTGACCTCCTCTGTTTGCACACGGTTAAGAATGCATGTTCATGAAATGTGACCCATCTCAGATGAATGGCTGAAATGTTCCTAATTTGATTCCAGACTGAACACAGGTTAATATTCACCAATAATAGAATTCTAAATACTAAAAAGTTCTGTTTCTTTCTATATTGAATTGTCACTTAGAAATTATTTAACTTCGGTCATTGCCACGATTATATAGAAAATGAGAGGTCTGTAGGTGTCTAGCCTCCGTCTGACATTGATTTAGAAAGAAAATACTGTAGCTTGAAATTATTTCAAGTTCCAGTTAATATAGTCAGTTGCTTAGATGTGCTGCCTCACAAGCTGTCTGTGGTTGATTTTAAAAAGACTCCCTTTTTCCCCCCAATATTGTTATTTTTAAATGTCAAGAATCAGATGTCTGCTGTTTAGAACTATTGTACGGCTGCCAGTGACTGTCTGTATCAGAATTTGGAGCAGGGACATGGATCTGAAGACATTAAAACTGTTTAATTCTCAGTTGAGATGTGGTTGGCTTTTGTACATTTGGAATAGAGCATTTATGGCACATCTCAGGGTAAGTGCTAATCGTTAAGTCAAGAAAATAGAAAGGGGGTCAGAGGAGTAGAGGGAGTTTTGGTTGTTGATTTGTTTTTGCTTTAAGAAAACAGAATTCTTGATTCTGTAAATGCCTTTTTATGTAAAACGTTGCATGTTGAATGACTGGCATAATAAGCTATTCAGGAGAGCAAGATTTTAGATTTCCAACTGTTAGCCTAAAAAAAAAAAAAAAAACCCTTCAAATTGTGTATTTTTGCATTCATCCAGCAGCAGAAACAGGAAAAAGGAAACAAAACGCTCTCCGGTAAAAGTAGAGAGAGAGAGACACAGGGGGAGAGAGAGAGAGGGAGAGAACGCACACGAGACAGACAGAAAGCCAGCACGCTCAGAGATGAAATTTTAGGAGAGCAAAATGATCGACCTTTTTAAGGCTGAGTGGGTTTCTTCAGTTTGTGTGCAAGTTTCAAGAAATGGAAGGATTGACCAGGTTTGAGTACAACTCTTTTATTACTATGTATTTGGTGATAGTGTATTGTTGGTTTAAGTGGTTTTTTTCTTCCTTTTTTTTTGGTGGTGGTGGGGAGTAGTTTTTGTTATTATTTTATTTGTTCTCTAAACAATAGCTAGTCCAACTGAAAGGGCTAAGTACTGATGTGTGTACAGATGGTAAGAAAGCAGGTAGAGACATCAGATACCTACACATCTGTGTCTCCAGGAGGCTTCATAAAATCTTTAATTGACAGATGATCACAGGTGCTAGGTGCCATGAGAGGATGTTGTGTGTCTAGTGGTTGAAATGTGATCTGTGGTTTTCTTTGACAAGAATGGTGAATGCTTAACTGTTCCTTTGCAAAATTAAAATTTCTGGATGGTTGGGGGTTTTGTGGATTTTCTTGCGACTTTTTTTCCCTGTTGG